GTTGTGTCTCACAATGAGCTTGTAGAATATTCCAGCTAGAGAGAGATTGGAACAGACCCTTTTTTTGCTGACAGACAAAGCAAAGTTCTGCGAGATGCAAATGAGATGGCATAAATTCTTTTCTTCAATCTCCTACCAATTCTTTTATCGAGTCATATCCCATCAAGATCACTACATACCATCAAGACCAGAAGAAATCTCACTGTTAGACTATTTTGAACAATATCCAACTATATTGCAAGCAAATGCATACTCTGAAAAGCCTTTAAAGTATTTCAAAACTTTCACTGATGGAATACTTACATTGACACCTCATGGCAACTGTAATATCAATATTGATTCTTAACTTACTGGAAAGAGAAAAAAAAAGCAAAAAGCTAGTAAGTAACATTGAGTACAAGTATCGAGATATATTACTAAAATTCTCAGATTACTTGCAGAAACACAGTCAAATAATGAAATTTACACCAATAAATATAAACTTAAGCTGTTTAAAATTTGGGTGAACCAAGATGAACTTTTAATTATTAAAGCACTGATGATCACTCGTAACTTAAGAGATAAAAGCATCAGATTTGCCTGTTGAATTTTACTATGAAACTCCTAACAGATTTTTTTGAAATATTACTGGCCCAAGAGTTTGTCAGACTCTTATTAAGAATATAGTTTTCAATGTTTTACACATTTTTTTTCACACAACTACAACAGTGCAATAAATTCCACAGAATGCAGTGGATCACAACAATGTAGGAGTTACAAATCTAAAACTGAGTAAATATTTGAGCACCTTCCTCCTGTTTTGTCCTTAAGACAGGCCATTGTATTTCCAATCTTAATCAGAATTCCTCAGGACAGTAACATTCAGGATCAGGCTGGGAAGTTACTAAAACCGGTTCCCAGAAAATACCGCCATGTCATAAGGATCATTGGTTTTGCTAGCACTGGAAAAACCTCTTTTCTCAAAAATGCTCCCATATTATAATAGCAAAATGCCTTGTATGTTAAGATCTCTATCCTGAGTGTTTCCATCACGAGGGGAGGTGAAACATAGTTCTTCCCATCAGGCGAAAAAAAACCCAAAATCCACATCCCAAAAAACTCCATCACACCAAAAGTCCAACTGTGTGGCATTCCCTAGTATTCTGGGCATTTCCTACTGGTTTTCATGTTAGTTTCACAAGTCATTTAAACTATAATGAGTAAATCCCCTCACTATAGTCATACAGTCCTATCACTTCCAGGGGCTTCTTCTGGGAACTTAGCTGACCACAAACAAATCAAATAAGCAAGGGATAGTTGGCTCAACTTGGGATCAGACATGGTCAGTAGACAGGAGAAAAGCAATTAAAGTGATACCAATCTCCATTGGTTTAAATTGTCACAGAACCACAGGCTGAGTGATCAGCCCACAATCAAACTGGAAAATCTGCAGCAGGATGTCTCCCAAGTCCCATAATAGTCTCTTAACCACTAGACTATCCTTCCCGTGTGATAGCTTCACTAGGGAAATAACCTACTTTAGCGAAGACCTAAATGTGAAACTCCCATCTGTCTGAATGGATTTACTCTAACTTGAGCTTTTGATGCATCTCCCTTAAATTTCTCATATTTTTTCATTACAGAAACCTTTGGCATTTCTGACGTACAAGACATCCAATTAATATATGTAACTTTAGCTTGTCACAGAAACTAGTCAAACAGCTTTCAAAGTTATTTCAGTTCCAGACACATGATATTTAAAGGTGTTCAGTGCACAAAATCTACATTAACTTCACATGGACTCATGGGTGCCTGACCACCTCAGGAACAAAGGCGAACACAGACAAGACAAGCACATGAAACCAACAGCAAATGTATCTTCAGCCAATCTTGGAGGCCGTAACTGGAGGCTAGATCAGTAGCAATCTCTAGATAACGTAGTCAAAGTTCTGAGTGCTTAAGGTTCACCTCCAGCAGCACAAAGTATAATGGCAATATACTAACTAGCGTAAGCATCATGCGAATCTGGTGGGTTTACACCACTGATGTGAAGTTACATATTACAATGTCCTCTGAATTGTTAGCAAATAATTCCTCAGGGGACTCCACCAACAAACCTACATTATTTTGACTTCCTCACTGCAGAAATCTCAATTTCTCTTCTTCATAGATTCCAGAAAAGAAAAAACCCAAATGAATCAACAGAAGAAATATCTAGTCCCTTTAGTATTTCATTTTTAATTTCAATCACAAATTGTTTGCAAGTCCCACAAACATTTTAAATTTATTCTGTCCTGAAATGCAGACAAATTTTAAAAGGAATCATAATGAATAAAAATTACCTAGTAAAATCCTTGTCTACTTCATATTCATATTTCATCCATGTGTCCCGATACACTGTGAACTCCATTATAGTCAGGAAAGCTATTGTTGTAAATGCTATCAGAGAAACTGAGTGGTCGAAAGAAAAAAAAAAAAAAAAAGTTTAAATTGTGAGAAATACTATTCAGAAACATAAGCAGAACTAAATTCTAACATTCCAGAATCTGAGCATTACCAGTACAATACTGGTATCTTTGATTTATAAATCCATAAGCTGCTCTTAGAAAAATCTTTTCCTAACTACAGTATTTGCTTTTACATAGGAGTGGAAAAGAACAAGTCCCACCTTTGCATCAAGAAAGAACTTCTTACATTAAGTACAGTGAAATACTAGAATGATGGGGAGGTTGTGAAATCCCTATATGAAAGATTTAAGAACAGGCTAGATCCTGCTCCGCATGTAAAACAAAATGCCCACAAATCACTGTCAGCGATAGTCTAGGCAAACTCAATCCTAAATTCAAGTATGAAATAAAGAGAAGGTGCACCTTGAAGTCCCTTCAAGCCTCCACTTGTCTACAACCTAAGTTTTATAACAAATTTTTTTATATCTAGTTTTAGAGCCAAGAAGCTAGCAGACAAGAGAAATAGTATGCATTATATGCACTGTCCAGTTAGAAAAAGGTGCCCTGATTATATTTCTTGTGTATATAGCTGCACAGTCAGGACTCCCACCCCAATATTTCAAACAATTCTCCCTCTGGCAATAAGCAACACGTAGCTATCCATTCTACCAACAGCTAAATAAGCGAAGAACTGATTTGAAATTCTTTTTAGGAAGAAAGCTAATTGGTGTATTTTAATGGTATATGTGCCTCACTTATTTCCAAAGCAGCTTATTCATCACACTTGCAAAGTCGTACAATGCAAAGGGAAGATCATCCTGCTGCACGTAGTCAGAAGCACAGTAACAGATGCACAGAAGCACCTGCTACACCCCTTTTATTAAATCGTGGCTTTTGTTAAGTTGAAAGAAACTTCAGTTATGGAGCACAGCAGTGATTTGTACAGCTTATTGACAGTATATGTTTTCCATCTGCATTCTGTGGAGTATTTCTATGGAGTCTGTGAAGGGCAACTTGAGAAAAAATAAGCCTGTTGTTGATAGGCCTCAATTCACTACACAGTGGTCTCCAGCCCAGAGGTGGGAGCAGGGACGTCAAGGCACTGTCCTACAGGATCAGAAAAGAAACCACTGGCTGCAGCATCGACTGTTGCATTGATCAGCAACATTTCAAGTTCTAGCTTTCAGCTGAAGCTATGTAACGATCATATACATGAAAACCTTCATGTCAATGCATACTGTGAAAGCAGACGCACTAATCGGTTAATTATTCTGGCTATCAATTTCATTTTGGAGCCCAGTAGGCCAGACTCACCCCAGCTATGCAATAGGAAAGCTGGAGCCATACTGTCTATCCAAACACAAGGAAACAATTAGAGCCATTGCTGCTTTCTGGGTAATTCCGAGCAAAGGTATTTGTGGATCTGAACAGGAAAATAAAGCCTTGTAGAATTTCCAAAGACAGATCCTCTTTTCCAAAGGCTCTCCCAGCCCCAGAGCTGGAGTCTCAGCCCATTTGAGAGACCGGTACTTCGCTTGCAATGGGGTTTAAGGCACTGAAAGTCTGAGAATAGTCTTGGTATGTTTTGCATCGCTATCACACCCGAAAGTAAGCCTGGCACTTTAATCCTGAATGAAATGGGAATACTACATTAAAATTTTATGATGGCACAGAATAAGACAATCCTATATTGTCATTTTTAAGATTACTGGGATAAACCAAAGAATGCTAAAGTAACTTCTGCTGTTGAGAAATCCTTAAGGTACCCTTCACCAAAGTGAAGTTCTCGTGAAGGATGGTGCTATACTACAAAAAAAGATTTTTTAAGCATTTATTGTTTTTCTAAGAATTACAACATAAAAACAACTCGCTTGCTTTCCCAGGAACTGGGGCTAACATCAACAAAGAGTTATTTAATCAGCTCTTAGAGATTATTTTATATACAATAATCCTTTAATTATTAACATTGCAATTCAGGAAACATAGCAAAGTAATACAGATCCTTGTGATATTTACTTTTACACAAGTGGCGTAATGACTTCAAAGGCTTATCTGTAGATTGCAATTGCTTCTTGTAGTTCTTATTCAACTGAGTTTCAGACATAATCACACGAGAGAGATTTTTGTCCTCCATTTCAAACTAACTGCTGGCAGTTTCCTATCTAACTGCAAACAATTCCAATAGTCCAACAGATGAAGTCACTATTTCCAGATCAGGCTACCTCTAACCCAACCCAACTTACAAGCACAACTTTTTGTTCAGATACATACAGAAAAGGTACTTCTTACAGCTACAGCTTTTTGAGAGGAGCTCAAGTGGCTAATAAGGACAGCACAAGTACATGCCCTGGAGTAACGTGTTTAATTCTTCAAAGGGCTTTCCTTACTCTTAAAATCAACTACACCTCCAAGACAAAAAGCTTTAGAAAGCTGCCCTTCATCCTGATGCTTAACTCAGCCAGCTCGTAAGACACCTCTGGAGAATGTTTTTGCTCTTTTATGAAAGCAAAGAGCAAATTCAACCTGTATTTTAGCTCACGCTGACAGTCTCACCCAGAAACCTGATACAGAGAAACGTGCTTAGTGAGACAACAAATGAGAAAGTTTTATTACAGCCTTGGCACAGTGCACTTCCAGTTGTAATTGGTTGTAAGTTTTTACAGTGAGCCTTACATTGGTTTGAGTCTCACCAGTTTTACACAAAAATCTCCCTTGAGATGAGCGATGAATGCACCTATTCGAATAAGATACTATGTCTTTACTTGAAGGACATGAGCTCTGTCAGTCCACAAAAGAAATCAAGAAACCAGTTTTGGCTAGTTTCAGATGAACACAGATGTCTTCCTCCTATTGAAGTTTCTATTCCTAGAGCATGCTAGACTGAGCTAACAGCCAACATGAATCATGTCAGCATCTCAACAAGGCCTACCTGTGCCTCCGGTCGCTGAAGTCTCCACATAGCTTTCAGGAACCTTTGGAAAGGCATCCAATTCTTTCATCAAATTCAAGGTCTTCTTCCGATTCAGTCGCCTCATCTTCAGCACGCTTCTCCACTTGCTTCTTCATATATTCCCTCTGATTTGAGAATAAATAGTTGTGATTAAAAGACACAAGCAATATTGCTCAAACTGACTGGCTGTAATTACAAAGCAATAATAAGGCAATTAAAATCTAAGAAGTATGTTTTCAAGAAACACATGCTAGACAACTGGATGGTCACTCTTGCTTCAAGAAAACTTAAAATTGGCCTGGACACTGCTGCTTACTTTCCAGCCACATCCAGCACATTCCCCAATTAATTACTATGACTAATTTTTTTCTCGATTAAATTCTTATTGGTATTGGATATATTGAATTTTAAATTAAAAAAACCAAACTCAATCCTGAAGTAAGCTTGCTAAACAGACCTGACAATGCATGGAAGTCACTGACTTAGCAGAGAATATCTAATAGGCTGCATAAACTCGGGAAGATGTCAAACTGCTCTGGGCTCCTGCATTGAGCCAATGTGGGCACATACTATATGCTAATGGGGAAAAAAAAGTGCATTTGACATTTTTACAGCTGGAGAATTTTATGGTCATAATGAAATTTGCATTTTTTTCCTCTATGAAAATGTCCCCCAAAGCAAATTAAGTATCAAATCCTAGCTCCATCCTTCTGAATCCTTTTTGTCTGTGACAGGATCTCTGCTCTGCTTGGAGTCGTTGATACATTAAGCAGCAGGATGCTGAGAGAAGGAGACCGCCCAGCAAATACTGTCTTAAACTGTTTCCAAATCATGCAAATACGCTCACAACCTGGCCCCGCCAATATGCTGCATGTTTTAACAAGTTGGCACTGCTGTTTCCTTCTGAGGAAGTGCTGCACTTTGCCGAGAATTTTTGAACCTACAAAAGCCATCATGCACTTACTGTGTTCTGAGAATATGTCATACTATCATCCCTATTTAAAGACACCAAGGTAGGCAAGCTAACCTACACTGCCAACATGTGAGACGGTCCTCATCACCGACTTACAGAAAAATCTGTTAACTCATCTCCCCTGTTTCACGTCAAATCTCCAGCATGTCCTAGTGAAATTACTCAAGAGCTATTCCCTGCTTTACCCCTCCCTGGTGCTGAGCAGGCTTCATACTGTGCAATAACAAAGGAATAGGCTTTACTGGAAATGGAAGCTCACACGTGAAGAATCACGATCTATGCCCGCAATTTCCTCACTACACAAATTCGCTTCAGACCTTAGTGAGAAGATACAGACTCTGCACTTGGCAGGAGCATCAGCCAAGTCAGCCTGCAGAGACCAACAAAATGATGCTGTGTGTGTTGCAGAGCATTCAAAGAAACCACAATTAAAGTAGGCAGAGAAGACGGGTGCTGCAACAGAATTTTGGTTATACAGCATCAAAAAAAAAAAAAAAAAAATCAGGGAAGCAAGGTCCTGTCCTTACTACACTACATAATTGTTTTTTAAAGAATTATCTCAACTCCACTCAGAGTAGCTTAAAGAAAAGTCAGAGCACTTGGGAAATACGGCAAAGCAGCTGCTTGGACAAATGACTGGAGCCATAACATTTGTCAGCACAGAGGAAACACCGGACAGGGTTGCCTGCTATCCTGCACAGACAGCACTGAAGTCAACCTAGCACCATTTCATTTTCCCTGTGTATTCTCTGCTACCACACGTGTAGGAGCACACCGTAAAGAGGTACAAGATAAACCTAGAGAACTTGAGAGCACTTTACTAGAAAAGTTTTTAAATCATCCTGCATCAGCGAGTATGCAGATTTTTGTAATCTAGCTAGAAGTATTCAATTTGTTCATTCGTTCCTTTAATCCCACATACACAGACTCACTTTCCGTTACAAACCGAGACAGACATCCAACACCCTCCCCGCTGCCCATCTCAACACACGCACCTCAGAAACACCAAGTATAATATTTGGAATCCATTGCTACAAAAGTAACATATTATGAATCCAAGAGCCGACT